CTGGGGACACTGGGACAGCTGTCGGACACTGGGGACACCGATGGGACATTGGGGACAGTGATGGGGTGTTGGGGACACCGATGGGACATTGGGGACAGTGATGGGGTGTTGGGGACACCGATGGGACATTGGGGACACTCACGGGGTGTTGGGGACACCAGGGGACACCTGTTGGACACGAGAAGAGGACACGGCCATGGGGGGACACGGGGGGAATGGTGGCACCCGGCCATGGGGACAGGGGACACGGGGAGGGGACAGCGAGGTGACACGGGGACACCTGGCCTTGTCCCACAGACCCACTGTCCCCTCAGGGCCCTCCCCAGAGCCGCTCCCGGCTCCTCAAATCCGCCCCAAATCCCCTTAAATCCCCCCCAAAAGCCACCCGGGCCCCTTGATTCCCCCCCAACGATCCCAAAATGTCCCCAAATGTCCCCAAATGTCCCCAAATATCCCCAAATGTCCCCCCCGAACGCCCCCGGCGCTCACCCGGCTCCGCCCGGGCACTTCCGCAAACAGTGACGTCACACGCGGTTCCGATCACGTGAGCCAGGAGGGTTTCGGTCACGTGACGGCGCCTCCGGGCGGGGAGGAACAAACCACAGAGGAGCGGCCGGAGCGGCCACTTCCGGGGCGGGGCAGCGAGAGCCGCGGCCACTTCCGGGGCGGGGCAGCGAGAGCCGCTGCCACTTCCGGGGCGGGGCAGCGAGAGCAGCGGCCGGAGCGGCTCCGCCCGAGGAGGGCGACACCTGGCGGCGCGGAGGTGTCCGGCAGGCTGAGGGCAACTGGGAGTGCTGGGAATGGGAACTGGGAACACTGGGAGTGGGAACTGGGAACACTGGGAGTGGGAACTGGGAACACTGGGAGTGCTGGGAATGGGAACTGGGAACACTGGGAGTGGGAACTGGGAACACTGGGAATGGGAACTGGGAACACTGGGAGTGCTGGGAGTGGGAACTGGGAACACTGGGATTGGGAACTGGGAACACTGGGAACTTTGAGGAATGGAACTGGCCCCATCCCAGTTTAACCAGTGACACCCCCATGCCCCTCCCAGTATAACCCAGCACAGCCCAGTATAACCCAGTACAGACCAATATAACCCAGTATAACCCAGAACAGACCAGTATAACCCAGCACAGACCAGTATAACCCAGTACAGCCCAGTATAACCCAGTCTAACCCAGTCTAACCCAGTCTAACCCAGTACAGACCAGTATAACCCAGTGTAACCCAGTATAACCCAGTATAACCCAGAACAGCCCAGTATAACCCAGAACAGACCAGTATAACCCAGTATAACCCAGTCTAACCCAGTCTAACCCAGTATAACCCAGCACAGACCAGTATAGCCCAGTACAGCCCAGTCTAACCCAGTCTAACCCAGTATAACCCAGTACAGCCCAGTATAACCCAGTACAGCCACTGGGCCCCTCCTGGTCTGAGCCAGTCCAAACCAGTACAAACCAGTACAAACCAGTATCACCAGTAACATCCCTACTGGTATAACCCAGTGAAATCAGGAACACGTCACCAGTATAACCCAGTTTAACCCAGTCCAAACCACCCCAAACCACTCCAAACCAACCCAAACCAGTCCAAACCAGTCCAAACCA